TGATGCATCCCTATAATCTTAAGATATTTAGGAGGCTGAGGCAGAAGGATCACAAATTCAAAGTGAGCCTGGGTAACAGTGTGATTCTGTCTCAAAATATAAAAAGAACTGGGCCGGGGATTTAGCTCAGGGGTTCCAGCACCTGCCTTGAAAGCACAAGGTCCTGAGTTCAATCCCCTGTAACAAAAAACAAAAAAATAAATAAAAAGAACTAGGGCTATAGTTCAGCACTTCCAGTACCACAGGGCAGGGGAGGGTGTCAAGGACATCCTACTTAACACCTTTTCAAACTAGGAATCTTGTTTCAGAAGATCATGATACACAATAAGGTTAGCCAAGAGAACAAGATGTTTGCCTCAATGATTTAGGAAACACTCTTGCACCTAGCAACCCTACAGTGTTTATACTGTCACCCTCACTCCAATTAACTGCAGTAGTCAAAGGAAAAGTTACTATAGCTGGTTAGCCCTAGCAGCTACAGACAGCAACCAAGACAGACACAAAGCGAACAGAGTGGACAAAAGACTAATGCAGGAGAATCATAAGTCTAAAGACAGCCTGAGCTACGATGTGAGATGAGTCCATGTCTCAAAAAAATAAGAGGAAAAAAAGGATGCCTTATAGAATATCCTAAATAAACAGAAATTCAAAAGGACTTTATATCTGATTCTCCATTACTCCCATAGCCCTCACTTTCAAATAAGCATACTTTTTTAAGGGTAGTCTAGAATACATAGCAAGAACTGTCTCAAAATATAAATAAACAAACAGCGAAATGATGTGCAATTTCTAAAGAGAATTTCTAATTCTAAATTTCTAAAGCCTGATGTGGCTTTAGTTATACCCTTCTTAAAATCCAAGGGATAAGCACTACTATGCCTGCACATTCACCAAACTTTAAGATTAAAAACAAAAGGCTGCCAGGCATGGTGGTACACCTATAATCCTAGCACTCAGGAGACTGAGGCAGGATTGCCATGAGTTTAAGGCCACCCTCGGCTACACAGTGAGTTCAAGGCTAGCCTGGACTACATAGCAAGACCATCTCAAAAAACTGAATGAATGAATGAATGAATGAATGCATGTATACATACATATGTACATACAAACAAAAAAAAAAAGGCTAAGGCCAGACACAGTGATGCAAGCCTGTAACTCAGCACTCAGGAGGCTCAGGCAGGTGGATTGAAAGTTTGAGGCCAGTGTGGGCTACATGGTGAGTTCAAGGCTGGCCTGGACTATTGTACTGACTCCGTCTCCAAAAGAACAAACAAAAAAAGACAAAAACTTATTTTCCTACTGTTTGTGTGTGTGATGGGTATATGTTAGGCTGTCACAAAAATGCATCCATAAAATAGTCACACATCAACAGACACCAGCAAATCTTGGTTTTCTGTTAGTTTAGAGGTCTAATGAGTAGTTAGACATGACAGCTGAAATGAAGAAACATGATCAAGATGGAGTCAAAAGGTTTTCAGGTGGTGAAATGTCCACAGGCCCAGACAATTTCAGAAACTGTGTAAGGCTAGAATACATCAGCAAATTCTCTTTCAAGTATTCAGATTCTACTACTTTATAAAGAAACTATTATGTAATAAAAACAGTCATTTCAAGTTAGTGTTCTTTTGCTTGCTTTGGCAGCACATATACAAGTTTGTGTTCGTACTTAAAACAAACACAAGAAAGAATCCAAAATCACCTGTACTCCTACTCCCACCCAAAGTGAAGCTCAAAATATAATATGGAACTGGAGACAAATCTTAGCCCCACAAATAAATTAATAATACTTACTGTGTCTGAATTCCCTTCCAGCAATATATTAATAGCTTTGTTGACATCTCCGTTACAGTCATGTAGGGCCACTATGCATTCATCCTGATTTTTTCCTGTCACTTCCATAAGCTATTCAAAGGATTGGCAAATGGTTAGGGAGAGCCAAAAAAGGTCACTTAATATTAATTTTGAGATTCCTCTGTTTAAATACAGCAATTTACCAAGAATCTATCTCAAAAATAAAAAAGTAAAAAAAAGTTGAGAATGTGGCTCAGTGCGCTAAGGCCATGGATTCAATAGAGGATGGGGCACAACACAATACAGTGCATACACAGTTAAAACCCAAAGTTTATGAATAGAATTTTGGTGCTGTCACAAACTGCACTCCTAGACATGCTATTTCTCAAAAAGCTTCAAGGTACTGTGTATAAAGTGACCACAGAAGTCTCAGTCCATTCTCTTCAATAAAGGAGAGTAATTGCTTAACAATTCCTTCATTAAAAGTCACAGATGAGGCACAAGTTTCTCAAGTATCAGTGAATAAATTCATGATTCTATTGTATTTTCATTACATTTATTTTATTGTGGACTAGCTAGCTAAAGTTTATTTATTTTTTGGTACATGGAGATCGAACTCAGGACCTTGTGCTTGCGAGGCAGTCAGCGGAACCACTGAGCTAAATCCCACACCCTAGCTAAAGTTTAAAACAGCTTGACCCTAATATTTCAAAAGATTTTTCAATGAGCACAAAGCTAACTGATAACAAAGACTGTCTAGAATGCAGGCCTCTTTTTAGACTACAGGACTGGGCCTCTCTTTTCCTCTTCTCATTTTATCTCGCAGCAAAAATTCTACCTACTCTACAGCTTTCCAGTGCTTCTGTGTTTAGATATCTACTAATAATATATAAATAATCTGTACTGCTTGCCACATGAAATCATTAAAATGAGCAGTCAGCAAAAGACCGGGGCCAGGGATTTAGCTCAGTGGTTCTGGCACCGGCCTCACAAGCGCAAGGTGCCGAGTTCAATCCCTGGTATCAAAAAAACAAAATAAAAACTTTTGGGGCCGGGGATTTAGCTCAGTGGTTTCGTTGCCTGCTGCACAAGGGCAAGGATCCGAGTTCAATGACCGGTACCAAAAAAAAAGAATGTAAGACCAACGTCACCCTGAGCTACATAGTGAGTTCAAGGCTAGCCTGAAATACACAGTGAGACCCTGTCTCAAAAAACAATTAAAAATCTAGCAGAGAGGCTGTGGTTTCACCGCCTGCTGCGCAACTGCAAGGATCTAAGTTCGATCCCCAGTACCAGGAAGAAAAAAAAAAAAAATCTAGCAGAGATATGAGTTGAAAGTAAAGAAGAAACATACTTCTAAAAACTAAAATCTGTAAGGGCCAGGGATTTAGCTTAGTGGTTCCACTGCCTGCCTTGCAAGAGCAAGGTCCCAAGTTCAATCCCCGGTACCAAAAAAAAAAGAAAAGAAAAGAAAAGAAAAAACTAAAATCTGTAATGAAATTACTTTAAAGACAATAAAAATACAATACAAAAATCATGGTATTGCCAGAAACATACCTGTTTAACTTTAGCTTCAAAATCAGAATCATTCTTATCAAAGATCACTTGAGCAAGACGCATCTGTTCAGCTGTGGCCTGGAAAACACAAATAACTGCTAAAGATTTGAGCAACAAAAATATGTTAAGATACTAAACTCTGGATCAAGCAGACAAAGCACTCAAGCAGTAAGCAGTAATAGAAATAGTGATTAACTTAAAAATAGGGGGGGAGGTATCCTGAATTTAGGTCTCTCAGCTGCATACAACCTGTTCAATAAGATAAGTAAGCATGAAGTTAAATAGGAGAAAGGACCCAGTCCTTTGACTAAATGACCAAAAGTTCTCTTTCATCTTCACTGATCATGAAGTTTATTTGGATTTTCTTTCCCTAGAGGAGAGGGTAGGGGAAACCAGCACGAGATAAAACAGAAAAAAATCATTGGGGCTAGCCATGGTGATACATTCCTGTAATCCCAGCTACCTGAGAGGCTAAGACAGGAGAAGCACAAGTTTCAAGGCAGCCTGGACAACTTATTAAGACTCTTCCAAAATTTAACCAAAAGGTAAAAAAAAATTTTTTTAAAGAGCTAAAAATATAACTCAGTGGTAAAGCACTTGCATAGTAACACAAGAAAAAATAAAGGTGTCATGGAAACAATCCCCCAGATGAAAGCTTGCAACCAGCTCTGGTATCGAAATAGCTCTGCAGCCAGGGATTTAGCTCAGTGGCACCATGCCTGCCTCACAAGCACAGGTCCTGAGTTTGATCCCCGGTCCAAAAACAAAAAAAAAACAAAAAAACTCTGCTGTCCAGTCTAAAAAGGTAACCTGGTCAATTTTGACAAGAAAAGGCTGTATTTAGCTGAACAGAAAATATTTTTTTCAATTATTGCTTTTGGTAAACAATTTCAGAAAATTTTAATTAAAAATTCTAAGCACTAAAATTAGTCACCACTACAGAAAATACTCTTCCATTTATTTTCTTCACTCAAAATTTTTGTTTTTATAAATCAAATTACTAGCTAGGCATAGTGTTACATATCTGTAATCTCAGCACTCAGTAGGGTCAGGCAGGAGGATCAAGAATAATAGGCTAGGGCCGGGGATTTAGCTCAGTGATGCTGCCGTCTGCCTTGTAAGTGCAAGGTCCTGAGTTCCATCCCCAGTACCAAAAAAAAAAAAATGGTAGGGCACCCTGGATTAGGCCTGAACTACAGAGTAAGACCCTGTCTCAAAACAAAACTTTTAACTTAAAATTATTGAATTGTAAAGATTTCTGTGATATTTTTGGCAATAAAAAAACTGTTATTACTCTTTCATGCAATGAATTAATAGTAATATATCTATTTGGTATCTTAGTTTTATTTTTTTATTTTTATTTTTTGGTACCGGGGATCGAATTCGGGTCCTTGCACTTGCAGGGCAAGCAGTGGAACCACTGAGCTAAATCTCCAGCCCTGGTATCTTAGTTTTGACAAAGATACCATGAGGGTATACAGGAACTCCCTGACCTACCTCCGTACAGTTTTTTAGTAAATCTAAAATTACTTAAAACAGTTCATTTTTTTAACCAGGAATGGTGGTGCACACCTGTAATCCCAGCACTCTGGGAGCCTGAAGCAAAGAGGATCATAAATTGGAGCCACACTACTCTACTTAGGGACTTGAAAATAAAAAGGGGGATGGGATGTAGTTCACTGTGATAGCCCTGGGTTCAATCCTCAGTACAGTAAAAATAAATAAATAAATAAATAAATAAATAAATAAATAAATAAAATTAATTCATTAATTAAATGTTTGCTTTTTAGCTGGGTGTGGTGGCATACACCTGTAGTCCCAGCACTCTGGGAGGCTGAGGCAGGGGGACTGCCATGAGTTCAAATTACCCTTCTTATCCAAAGTCTTCATTAACTGCTAACACAACTGTATCTAAAACTCTAAAATAGCTCACTGAATGATTCTCAAGGAAAAAAGCCACACATCACAAGGAATAAATGAATGTCTTTTCTTCTTGGATTTTAATATACACTGAGCTCATTTCAAGTAATCTCACAAAGTGGGGGGAGAGTTGTTGGCATTTTTTGCAATGTATTACACTTTTCACAAGGACTTTCCAGTCTATGTGGGTGGATACTTACACAAATTTCAGCATTTGTGGCCTGTTCTGGACAATTTAATGGTCAGTTTTGTCATTCCACTGTATGCCTGCTATAACCTCAGTATAACTGCTGTAAGGCTGTTACATTACACCTAGAACGATACTTCTACAGAAACTCAGTATCCACACTGACAATTTTACCTCAGCACTTTTCAATACATATAAGGCGCTTAAATGCACTCTCATTGTACCTACTGCACATAAGACAATCATTCCCCCAACCTACCCTCACTCAGAAGTCCCACTGCTGCAACTAAAAGGCATGATAGGGCTGGGGATTTAGCTCAGTGGTTCTGCTGTCTGCCTTGCAAGGTCCTGAGTTTGATCCCCGGTACCAAAAAAAATAAAAATAAAAGGCATGATAAATGAATGCAGTAAGAAGAACCCTAAGAGGAAAAACTAAAGAGGAAGATGAGCTCTGGAAAGATGGTAGTCTCCGATTAGAATTTGAACGCTTGGTAACAGCAACCTCTTCTGAATCAAAGTAGACCGCTGAGTCAGGCATGGTGGCACACATTTATAATCCTAGCACTCTTCCAGGCTGAGGCTAGAGAACTGCAAGTTTAAATCCCACCTCGGAAAACTGGTGACTTAGCAAGACCATGTCTCAAAATAAAACATAAAAAAAGGGGTGGGATGTAGCTCAGTGTAAAGGACCTGGTTCAATCTCATGTACTGCAAAAATAAATGAATGAATGAATGGAAGAAAACAGACCATATGCAGCCCTAAACTAAGTCTACATGAATAGTTAGCCTACTTTTCCTAACACAAATATCTTTCACTCCCTGAGTCACAGATCTAAAAAATGTACTCTACTCTCACTTAAAAATGCCCTGCAACTAGTCTACAAATATGTAAAAACAACCGGCAATATGAAAGAGCTTGCTTTCTCAATACCTTTGCCAAAATGGGCACTTCAAAAATAAGGTCATTTATTTTTGAAAATAAGGGGATTTAACTCAGTGGTTTCACCACCTGCTGCGCAAGCGCAAGGACCAATAAATAAATAAATAAATAAATAAATAAATAAATACGGTCATTTTAATGAACAAAGCTGACATTTAAGGGCTGAGGTTACAATTCATTAGTACAGTGTGTGCCTAACACATCCAAGGCCTGGAGAAAGGTATCAAGACCACTCTAACCCCAAAAAATATAACAAGGCCCTGGGTGAATACCAAGCAATACCCTCAAAAATGTATTTAGTTTAATTTTTATTTCTTAGATGACCATTTAAAGTAAACTTTTTAAAATATGTTAACTCTGAGCTAGGGTATATCTGTGTGGCAAAGTACCTGCCTACCATGAAGGAGGACCTGAGCTCCACCCACAGTACTGCAATCAATAGAGAGAAAAGAAAGAAAAGAGAAGAGAAGGAAAATAGAAGAGAAAGGAAAAATTATGAGAAAAGAAAAATGGAAACGAAGTCTATGTAAATAGGGAAGGGTGGAGGGGGTGAAAGGCACACAGGTAATGGGGAAAAAAATAAGAACCAAGATACATCATGTAGAGGTACAAGCACCCAATGATAAATATAAACATATTGTAGGGCCGGGGATTTAGCTCAGTGGTTTGGCCACCTGCTCTGCAGGCGCAAGGACCCGAGTTCAATCCCTGGTACCAAAAAAGAAAAAAGGTAAATGTATTGTATACCTAAAATGTACCAATAAAAGAATTTAAGGAAAAAAAAAAAAGAAAAAAGAAAAGAAAAGTCAAATCCCTGTTACCAAAAAAAAGGAAAAGAAAACAAGGGGGGAGGGCAGGGGAGAGGAAAAGGAAAAGGAAAAGAAAAAGATGAAATATAACTAAATATAGTGATTACATTAGGGGTAGAAAACATGCTAAAATATGACACTACTAGAGTATTATACATTATTGGAAAAATTGAAACAAAAATATAAAAACAAAATATACAAATAAACATAAAAAAGAAGTTGAAATTTGAATTGTAGCAAACACTGTAGCAATTCTGAATTTATTTAACCTGATAGTTGAATTGTATTTATAAAAAACATCTTTGCCAGGCATTGGTGGTGCATGGCTATAATACCAGCTACTTTGGAGGAGGAAGCAAAAGGATCATAAATTTCAGGCCAGCCTAGATAACATGGTAAATATATTAAAACATCTCTAAATAAAAATATAAAAAGAAAAAAAATAAAAAGGGTGAGGATGTACCTCAGTGGTAGAGCATCCCTGAGTTCCCATGCCTAGTACTACTTCAAAAACAAAATGAAATAAAGGAATATTCTTGTTCCTAGAAATTCAAACTTAAGTATTAAAGGGTAAAGGGTAAAATATATATATATTTTTTTTAATTTAACTTACGCTCAAATAGTTCAGAATAACTAATGTATCTGTGTGCATGGAATGTGTACATACAGACAAAAATGAATACACAAAGGTAAAATATGCCAGATGTGGCACAATGTTTTAGAACTAGTAAAGGGTATATGGGAGTTCTTTAAACTACTCCTCCAATATTTCAGCAAAACCAAACATCTAATTATTAGGGGCAATAATACAAAACAAAACACTGTGTACAAAGGTCTTATGAACTTCAAAAATATAATCAGAAAAACCACCAAAAAATACAAGATTCCCATGGAAGCAATTTCTGACATGTGACAAAAGCAAACACGGAGGAACCTAATGTGCCTAAGAACAGGAAAACCCCAAGCAGCCAAGAAATACATAGCACTTGTAAAATAAGGGTCAATTTGAGAATAACAGCTGAACTTGTAGGGTTCTGCCCACTACAACAGCAAGCTAATTGCAGTGACAGCAGAAAGATTTAGAGTCCAAGACAGTCTATCACCATAAACTTCAAACCTAACCAGAGTTCCCTTAATGAAGAAAATCTGGGAGTAGAATCAAAATTGAGAGACACATATAGAAAGAAAGAAAAGGGCTGGTGACACATATAGAAAGAAAAGG